AATAATAACTGTATCAAAACAGTAGAAAAATAAATATTGTCAGGTCAGGCTTGGAGTCTGCTACTGGTAACACTGTAATCTAAACTCTCCCCCCATCAGTGTATACATGAGTACTGATGAGGAGGCATTTAATAGTGATTTTTGTTTTTTAAGAACACTTTTTAATATTTCAGGCTGATTGTGTTCTTATTTACATGGTACTTAAAACGCCCAAATTCAGGCTGGGTGTTCTTAACCCACTTGTTCTTTTATGCGGGTTTTTACTATATCTTCTCCTTTTCTTTACAGATATCAATGAGTGTGAGCCAAAGGCACTTGCATTGTATCATAATCATTATGCACACAACTGTCATGCTGACGCTAATTGCACTGATACAAAAGGATCGTTCTACTGTACCTGTCATACGGGATACTCAGGAGATGGAGTCACGTGTATTGGTAAGTGAAAATGATTGGTAACGCGGCAAAAACGTTGAAACAAAATTACAAAGATGGTTTGTCATTGCAATAAGCTACAATATAAATTGAACTAGTTGATATAACATCGCTTGAACTTTGCAATTAATATTCTTTACTAGATATCAACGAATGTAAGACATCAGCTCTTTCCCCTTACCACGGTCACTACGCACATAGCTGTCATACTGATGCTAACTGTACCAACACCAAGGGATCGTTCTACTGTACCTGTCATTTGGGATACTCAGGAGATGGAGCCACGTGTGTTGGTATGTAAACCCCTCCAATAATTTATCAATCTGGAATAAGATAAATTGAACTTCGATGGGCCTTGGTTTTTCTGTTATTACATTCAGTTTTTGCCATACACAATGCATTGTAACATTCCTACCTATTAATCCTGCACCATGTTCATTACTTGGATGATGTAAGTACCAAACAAATAATCTGAATTATTTTAGATATCAACGAGTGCCAATCCACAGCCCTAGCAGTATATCATGGTCACTACGCACACAACTGTCATGCTGATGCTAACTGTACCAACACCAAGGGATCGTTCTATTGCACCTGTCATGTTGGGTATTCGGGAAATGGAGTCACGTGTGTTGGTAGGCAATTCGTATTCATTAAAAGACCATGCATGTACAATATCATTTATTCTCAGCACAGACTTCATAATGTGATTCTTCCATTAGTTATGATTTGTAAAGTACTTTTTATTCATGATCATATGAATGAGTAAATTTCTTATATGGCATATAATAATATTTAATCAATTTGAAGGAATAGGAAATGCGTGCGCGCATGCTGTGTGCAGTTATAAAGCACACGCTAAGGTTGATAAAACTTTTGGATTGTGTTATCAATCCTCGAGTGCTCTATAACTGCGCACAGCACAGTGGAAGTTTTTTTTGCCTCAAAATGTCATGAATCAGTAATACATAAATCTTAAGTACAGTTCGAGCGACCTTATGCGTCACTTACATGAACTTATAATATACAATATGTTCTAGACAGTCATCCTCTTTAGTATTCTTTTATTCTCATTGCTATTTGAAACCTGATAAAATGCTTCTACTTTACATAAGATAATATTATATCAAATTACAATAACCTGTTGTTTTAAATCGTGAATGAATAACTAAAAAACGCGTGCGCGTACAATGGGAGCTCCCATAAAGCAAATACCTCAACCGTTCAGAAAGTAAACAGCTATTTTAGAAGTAATGTAATCACTGACAGTTATACTCTTTATTCCCGTTATCATAGTACATGCTCTTCATAATCTCTCTCTCTATCCATTTATATCACCTGCTGGCAAATTCCAATTATTCTAGTGTCTAGTTCATGTATCATGAATTACCAATATTTTTATAATTATCTTGATTTACTGATATTATGTTGCTTCTTTACTTGACAGTAAATTAGCTGAATCTGTCACAGACCATTGGTACACCTAGCTTGATCCATATTGTATACTCTTAATCTAATCGATATATAATGCGGTCTATTTAGTTGTGTGTTGAGTATGATCGTCTGCGTCCGTTGACATGCATGCACCTCCTGTCTTTCCGCAGCAAGAAAAAATTCAAACTCAACCAAAGGGCTCATCTCTGATAGATCACACTCAGGACTCATCACCCACTTGGGTTGTTGGATTCAAACTATGCACTTTATTATATAGTCTATGATTGTTATCGTCTTCTAAACTTACTTCAATGTTTTGTAACACTTAGACATAGACGAGTGTGCCAAAGGTACACACAACTGCCATGTTGATGCCAATCGTACCAACACCAAGGGATCGTTCTATTGTACCTGTCATACGGGATACTCAGGAGATGGTGTCACGTGTGTTGGTATGTTTGAGTGTAAAAAATGCATCCAATTAAATAATATGTAAATGTATTACCTATTCAATTATGACATATAAACTGTTTTTTAGACATCAACGAGTGTCATTCCAATGCGTTGGCCCCAAACCATACTCACTACGCACATAACTGTCATGCTGATGCTAACTGTACCAACACCAAGGGATCGTTCTACTGTACCTGTCTCGTTGGATATGCTGGAGATGGAGTCGAATGTACAGGTAAGACACTAAGGGATTACACACTGTCCTCTATGCATTATTATTTAACATGAAAAAGAGTTTGTTTTGAAGACCCGTTCAGCTTTGCTGTAAATATTTATCATTTCATTCTTCTAGGATAAATACCTTTTTCTCGACTTCATCTGTCTATTTTAATGTGTTTTCTCAAGCGTCATCAGCATAAAGAAAACTTTACTCAAGGCATGACACATGGTCCAAAATAAGAAAACCTTAGTTCCCGACCTAAATGAGCTTTTACTTACCCGTTCACTACTTTCGTATTCATACTTATCATTGATGCTCTTTTGCAGATATCAACGAATGTTTTCCAGAGAGTATACAAAAAGGCTATAAAAGCTTAGCTCACAACTGTCATGCTGATGCTAACTGTACCAACACCAAGGGATCGTTCTACTGTACCTGTCATACGGGATACTCAGGAGATGGTGTCACTTGCAACAGTGAGAATAATTTTTATAACCATGTCTTCTCCGGATTAATACTTTTATTTTAAGAACTATAGACAGTAAACCTTTTTATAACGATTTTGTTTATACAGATATTAACGAATGCCGAACCACAGCCCTAGCAATATACCACAGCCATTATGCTCACAACTGTCATGCTGACGCAAATTGCACTGATACGAAGGGATCGTTCTACTGTACCTGTCATACGGGATACTCTGGAAATGGGGTCACGTGTGTTGGTGGGTGCTTAAAATTAGTGCTTTTCAAATAGCCGTAATTATTTCATATCAAATTAGAAAAAAGTGTTATTTCCCAATCAAAATTGATTTTTTTTTCCAGACATCAACGAGTGCCATACCACAGCCCTAGCATTATATCAGGTTCACTATGCACACAACTGTCATGCTGATGCTAACTGTACCAATACCAAGGGATCGTTCTACTGTACCTGTCATACGGGATACTCTGGAGATGGAGTCACGTGCGTTGGTGAGTCTAAAAGGCTTTCAACTAAGTATAGTGATAAACATTGCATGCTTGGTAATTTGTTAAAAATTTAAATGTGTACGTTTTTATCGTTTCAAATGTTGATGAATTTTAGAGTTATCTATTACTTTTTTTGTCTTGTTATTATTTCATTTTAACCACACATAATTAATCCAATGGCTAAATCGTTTTAGATATCAATGAGTGCCAGACCACAGCTCTTGCAGTATACCACAATCACTACGCACACAACTGCCATGCTGATGCTAACTGTACCAACACCAAGGGATCGTTCTACTGCACCTGTCATACGGGATACTCGGGAGATGGAGTCACGTGTGTTGGTAAGGAAGTTCTAGTTCTCTTAGATACCAGAAGAGGAGAAAATGGATCTTTTTCTAGATAATGTTTCTCTATTTAAGACCATGTGCCATTCTCTTGGGAATAAGATACTTTGTTAGAGTGGTATACATATTCATATATATGTCTTCTCATGTGCAACCATTAAACAATTCAAAGAAATGATACTCTAGGGAATGACACGTGGTCTGAAATGTGAAAACATTACGCCCAAGCCGAAAAGTTGTATTTGCTTCCAACTTCTTTTGAGTTTTTTTTTTCCATTTATTTCTAGATATAAACGAGTGTGGCGTTTCAAGTCTTGCTTCTCATCACAAGCACTACGCACATAACTGTCATGGTGATGGAGTTTGTGTAAACACCAAGGGTTCCTTCTACTGTTCCTGTAAATTTGGATATACCGGTGATGGTGTCAACTGTACAGGTAAAATTTCCTTGGAATAAGTGGGGGTACGATAAAGAAAATTGTTTGGTTTGGTTGTTATTTAAATTGCCACTCAGAAATCTATTGGACAATCGATCCAACAAACCAAAGTAACTAAACCTTCTTTCTCTTTTACTCCCGACGAAGGACTAGCGTACGTAAAGTCAGTAATTTTTTTTCATCTTTTCACATTGTATAATTTACCTTTTTATCATTACTGTTTCATTAGAAACACCGACGCAGCTCACACTAGTTTTTAGCTAGTTATATCTTCCTATTGTTAAAATGGTTGGCACATTAACATCGACCGCAATGGCAAAATTCGTAAGCAGTAGTCATTCCATTGAGAATGTATTTTTATCATTTACTATTTAATTATGTTTGACACGATTCATGAATTCATTGAAACACCTAAAAAAATCTGCTGAAATCCTTACTGATAAGAATGAGGGATTCTTGTCCTGTTTTTATTTTATTTTTTACTTTTTTGTGTAGCACATTAAAAAAAACCACTTTCCATCGCTAATCACCACCGCAAAGTACAGTAGTGGCGCAGCTCAATGGGGTGGAATTGAAAGCATGTGAAGGCGCCTTTGGCAGCCGCTATACAATCCATGTATGACCCCGGAGCACAGCTCTAACCAGTTTGAATCAGTTAGGGTTGATTTTAGAGGAGGAAGAAAAAAATTGGATCTATTAATCCAAAGTATAGCATACTTTAATACGTTCTTTAACATCCCTAACAACCGTGATTGGATTACTTGACGTGTATGTTTCACAAAGAAACCAAGCCTGACACAAGGTACTAACTTGTCTTGCTATATTGTCGTAACTTCAGATATAAACGAATGTCTTCTAGACATCGATATATGTCACGACGACGCAACCTGTACAAACACCAAAGGCTCGTACAAGTGTGACTGCAAGTCTGGTTACTATGGAAATGGCTTCAAGTGTCTAGGTAATGTGATACTAGCAATGTCCCCTATTTTTTTTTTAATATAGTTAGTAAGCTAATTGAAGTATGTAACCATGGTTGCAGATAAGGACGAGTGTACTTACGATTTAGATAACTGCCATGCTGACGCGATATGCACCAACACAAAAGGATCCTATAACTGTACGTGTCATCCTGGTTACTATGGAGATGGATTCGCATGTAATGGTAAGTCCATTACTAGTATGGTAGTCCATCAGCTCCGTGCTGCCTTAGTTTGAATTATTCTCATGTACCAGCACTAAATGCTTTTATGTGGCTAAATCTACCTTTTTTATTCATGTTATATTTTCGGATTTTTTGTTTTATTCCAGATATCAACGAGTGTATTGTAGGAACTCATAATTGTAGTAAAAATGCAATGTGTACTAACACTAAGGGTGGATTCAATTGCACTTGTATGTCTGGATACAATGGCACAGGCTATATATGTAATGGTAGGTAATCAATTAGGTCTGAAGAGTCGACTGAGTGAAGTCACTAAACCCGTGAAATAGATATAATTAGAACTAATAGGTAGGTCCTTTTTCTTTTGTGTCTATTTGACTATTACAAGTTAACTGACATGCTTTATTTTACGAGTAAAATGCCCTTACTCTATGTTATGTGTAAAAAATATCAAATGTTTAAATAAAGATTGCCAATAGTTATATTCGTTTGTACAATCAACAGACATTGTTTCATTCATGTTACAGATATAAACGAATGCTTGGATGGCTCACATAACTGTCATCCCAATGCGGAATGTTATAACTTTAATGGTACTTTTCAGTGTAACTGTAGCGCTAGTTACGAAGGGAATGGAACCTACTGTAGAGGTTTGTAAATCTTTGATATTATTCATAATAATTATCCCTTCCTCTGCCAGTTCACAAATTGAAGCACACATATTTCGATAGCGCAACAAAACTGCAAAACAATTTGTAAAAATAACCTGCCTTTATTTCTCATTCTTATATCCAGCGGATTCAAGGAATACTGATTTTTTTGATGAAAGTCGTGGAATGGACTCAAAATGGGAGAGGATATATAGTCCATCCATTATATAGCCAAGCAGCTCAAATCAATAACATAACTGTCTAAGTTACCAAAAGTTATGATTGTTTCTTTCTTCCTTTYCCCCCCGTAGATCTTGATGAATGTAGAGCAGGAACCCATGGATGCCAGGGCACCTCTAAATGCGTCAACAACATTGGTGGATTTGTTTGTAGTTGTGAACCTGGATTTCGTTATAACGGGACAGATTGCTGTGGTAAACGTCTCATGCATGCTTAAGATTGAAATCAAGTTCTCTCTGTCTTCGCAGTAGAACTTCTATATTGTACATACACGATTCACGATTTGCACAATATCTTCCATTCTTGTATGCAATGTAATAATCTTCTAAGTGATTAGAGCAATGGGCCTTTCGATCATTGACTACTCACGGTTAAAACCTGGTATTATTTATTCTCATTCAGTTTTTTCGATCCATTCTTTATCTACTTCTTTTATTCTTTTTTCGTCTGTCTTTTATTCATATGTATAAGACTTGTCCAACGTGTCTTTTGTGATCGTTATAGATACTGACGAGTGTAAAGAGAAGACACACAACTGTCATCACCAATTTGGTATTTGCATAAACCTGGCACCCTTTTTCAACTGCACATGCGCATTAGGATCGAAAGGAAACGGAACGGACTGTGTTGGTAAGTTGGCTGTTAAACTGACTTGATGTTTTATTTTCTTCAGCTTACACTAAATATATTCTTGCAAACACTCAATTGAAGAAATAGAAAACGCGCGCGCTTGCTAAATAAAAGCACGCGGGGGTTGGTAGAACACGAGAGAAGTGTTAGGAGAAGCACGACGCGTAGCGGAGTGCTTCTCGACACTTCTCGAGTGCTCTGCCAACCCCCAAGTGCTTTATGACTGCACACAGCACAGCAAGCAAGTTTTTTATTTCTTTTATAAAATACAAATTACAATAATAGATAGGAATGACGCAACGGAAAGTACGCGCGCGTGCAATGTGCTCTCATAAAGCACGCGCTCCAAACCAATCAGAACGCGACATTCATAACAGTTATTTTATAATGCGAAATCGTTGTTGAAACCGAAATATTGCATGTGAAGTTCCTTAATTAACTGCTTATGCGGCGGCCATAAGGGGGTACCGTCCAAGAGGCAAATAGAGAGTTGTTAGGTCATTGACTTGAATTGATGGATATCAAAAGTTCATCACAAGAGAACACAACAAAACATGAATAAAGGCGGCATATCGATCACCCCAAAAAGAAAGGGAAAAAAAAAATGGATCGCGTCTAAGTAGTCCATTAAATGTACCTAGTGATACAACTCGTCGCCACGAGTAATGCTTATAAATTGTTCCACTGAAGGAAAGCATGGAGGCTTTAAACACATGCTTCATRTCGTCAGTTGTATCTCAAATAAATACACCAGAGGATAATTGTCATTTCCCATAATACATTTCTATCTCATGTTCTATGTTTTGCCCCAAACATTGATTTGTAATTGAGTTTATATATACAAACACAGCTAAGAGAATAAAATAATTTTGAGAACTCTATACTTGTGCTTGTCTCCTTTCAGCCTTGGACAGAGTTTATAAAATAGTGTTTCGTTTACCATCTACTTTGTGGCGTGAGGAATACAGACAACCTGAGTCTCCACAATACCTGGCTTTAGCAAAAACAATAGAAAATGCGGTAAGTATTCGTGACTTGAATTAAATCGGTGTCAAGCTTCAGCTCACAACTGATGTACGGTGAGATTCAAAGTGGACATGTATAGCTTGGGTAATATGTCTTCCCATATTCATTGTCTCTTAGTTTGAGTTTCCCTGTTTTCATGCCATATTTTGATGCGGGTTATTATTATGCAAAATATACTATTATATTTTTAGGTAAAGGAGATCTACAAAGATCACAAGACCTTCATTGGAAGTAAAGTAATGAATTTGTATGACAAGTAAGTTTGCTAGATTTGTTTCTAGCTGGTTGCTTTCTTTGTTGGTTGGTTTGCAGTTTTGCCTGGGAAAGTTTTCCCTAACTTTTGTTTGGTTGACCTTCTTTTTGAGTTTGTGGTTTTTTTGGTTTTTTTTTTTTTTGTTGAGATTGTCATCTTATTCATGTTCTTTCAGTGCTCTGGTATTTTCATGATTGTTGTTCTTGGTCTGCGTTTGTGTCATTTGCAATAGCCCTTTTACATGTTTGTTTTTCAGTAAAGGAATGACAGAAGTTGATCTAAAGACGATATTTACATCCTACCCTCATCTTCCTACCAAACCAATTTTATTAGCAGTCAAACGGGGTAATATTGGCACATTGAAAGCGGATATGGAAAACTTTGATATCAAAGAAATTGCTCGTAAGTCAGCATTAGATATTATTGAAAACTAAAATAATTTTCTTAGAAGCTGTGATTGTGATGTGTTGTGATGTGTGCTCCTTTCCCAAAAAATCACAGGTAGCCCAAGCTATGTTAATCCAGCTGAGTAGACTACGTTCCCCCAAAGGGATTATGGGTCAACTATTTTTCATTCCCATGGATCTTTAGCGCACGTTGATTAGGATCAGTAATAAACAGAAATAAAAGTGGGTCCAGTTCTGGACTAAATCATACGTAGCTCATTTGGGCTACCTGTGCCCAAAACATCTTTTCTTTTCGATCACGAGTAGATAACTTAACATTGTTATCTATCTTCAATTGGGACAGATTTTGACGAGTGTCCACATAAATGCTCAGCCAATGCCTTCTGCTCGCGGAACGAATCATCCTTCAAGTGCGTGTGCGAAAAGGGGTATATTGGCAGTGGCATAGAATGTCTTGGTAGGTGTTTTAATCTAAGTATGTTACTATTTAACAGTCCCTCCGTTTGTCGATCAGCTTGAAGCTTGGTTTATTT